GAAGCGAAACAAGTTATATTTTCTTTTTCCTCTCTCTTTCCAGGGGAATTTTTTCTCTGCTATGATCCTCAGAAAGATTACTGGGGGTTTTTGACTCCAATGACTGTGCCTAGGATCCAAGGCTTGGCAACTGTGTACAATGACTCCATCTACTACATAGCTGGAACCTGTGGAAACCATCAACGTATGTTTACCATAGAGGCCTATGACATTGAACAAAATAAATGGACTCGAAAAAAAGACTTCCCATGTGATCAATCCATTAATCCCTATATAAAACTTGTACTCCTCAAAAATAAACTCCATCTGTTTGTCAGAGCTACTCAAGTCACTGTTGAAGAACATGTTTTCAGAACCAGCAGGAAGAATTCGCTCTATCAGTATGATGAGGTTACTGACCAATGGCAAAAAGTATATGAGACTCCAGATAGGCTCTGGGATTTAGGCCGGCATTTTGAATGTGTTGTTGCTAAATTGTATCCACAGTGTCTTCAGAAAGTTATTTAACCTTTTTTCAGTAACAGGCCTTAGTGATTTCAGTGGTAATCTGATGCTAGAGAAAACATGTCTTAAAAGAAAACCAAGAAATTCTGTCAGTATTTATTGTAAGCTGAAACAGACAGTTTTTTTGTATATGGGGATGGGTGCTCTTTAAAGGTTGCAGTCTGGGGAGGGAATTACTGATTCAGTTTCATATTTACTGATATTTTCCTGGGAAATGAGAAGGAGGTTACAAAGTGCAATTATCAGCATTTTTTTTCTGGTAAACACTTAATCATGTCATACTAGAGGGGTGTTTTTGTGGTAAGAGCAAATTAAGTGGAGGAACCAGGATAACTATGCACTACAGGGAAAGAAAATCTAGCACTAATAGCTAAGGATGTCCAAGCTGTTTTGAAGTGACTTTTTTTCTCTTTCTCTCTTTCTCTCTTTCTTTTTTTTTTTTAAATACGGGTAAAATTTGAGGCAATATCACTAAGTCTTTTATTTTAGATTGTTTGAAAGTACATAGAGGAATAGTAGATCCTGATTCTTAATAATCTTTTTTGTACTGTTTTTGAAGTCTGCTAAGATGATCATAACATTATTTGTGCACTACAGTTTGGGAGAAATACTCAAGTCAGAATTGGAATATGGAGTATCTTTGCCCAGAAGAAGGCCTGTGTAGATTACTGTACCACTTCCTGTATGGATTTCTGTTGAAATTGAGCTTACTGATTTTTAAAAAGGAGAAAAAAGAAATCCAACACCTATTTTCTGCCACTTAGATGTAGTACTTTAAAAGCATTTTTTTTTCTTTACACTGCTTAAAACCTTTTTCATCCCATAAAGGGCTTTAACCCAAAAGTTGATGGTGCTAGTACATTTTTAATACTTGTTTGTCTGAAATGGGCTAGCCTTATGCCTATTACTTTTCATGGAGTGTCTGTCTGTCTTCAGGCCCTGTCCTGTCATCATATTGTCTTTTTTAACATTTATGCTGCAGTGGTAGATTCTTGCACAGAATGGTGACAGGATATGGCTTTAATGATACTGGCTTGTGGAGCGTTCATTCTGCCTCCACTAGAATACAGTGCTATGTGCAGTGTTGGCATGTGCTCCAGTAATTCTGAAAAGCGTGGTTTAACTTTACTTGTCTATTCTTTCTCCCTGCAAACAAGCCCTCAGATACATTTTATTTCATTCTGATCTATAATGTGAAAATTTGCACTACTGAGATTTCTTCATAATCCAGTGTATTAAAGCAAAATTGACATTAAGTGTCCGTAGCTTAAATAAGCTTAGATGCAAATATAGAATAAGGATCCCATATATTGCAACACTTTTCTCTATGTATTAAACACTTAGCTTATTTTTTAAGAAGTAAATAAGTTCAAAATTTAGCCTTTACTTCAGTAATGAAAACTGGATAGAGAGGGGAAAAGATTAATCCTAGAACTCTTTATCCGCTATAATTTGCCAGGTTTAACTTGTTACAGAGATAATTTTTCCAGAATGACAAGTATATTACCTTACTCTGCTGTATTTTCTCAAATTAACCAAAGTAAAACAGTTAACTTGAAATGGCAGTGGCCATCACTGCCTGTAAGTGCTTACCATTATCTGGCTTAAAAATGATATTTCAGTAGGCCAAATATTTAGCTCATCAGTGTTTATCCCCCTGGCATGGCTGAGAACTTGGATAATGTTCATTTACTATATGGTCTTACTGTTCCCAAATGGAGTCTTTCCGTTTTAAACAATACTCAGCTGGTTCTATTTCTTAATTCTTGCACAAAATGTTAAAAAGGCAAAAACAAAAAAAACTGTGAAATGAAAAGGAAAAAAAAAATGCCTCTTTGCATTACATACCTCATCTTCCAGAGACTCACCAAACTGCTTCTTTTAAATGCGAGTGCTTACATTTTTTTTCAGAAGTAAAGTTGAAGTTGACAACATTTGCTAAGACTGCATTTTACAACAGCGTTGAGGTATATTGTTTCTTTGTTTAGTTTTCTTCTGGATACTATTTTTTATATATATCCATAGCCAAGAATAAGAGTGTGGGGTTTTGCTGTTTTTTAAGTACAACTAATTCCTTTCTTTCTTTCTTTCTTTCTTTTTTTTCTTAATTATCCTTAGTCCTTGGCTAGCTCTCCTTGCGCTGTTGTAGGCCTCTAGCTGCAAGCTTTCTGAAGCACCCTCCCTAACAGTGTTGCATTTGTGTGTAAACCATTTTTTTTTTTTGCAAAGTGTTATGTAACTTTTCTCTTGTTTTGTTTTTTGTTTTTGTTTCAAGCTTGGTTGAATATTTACATGACTTCTTGCTGCTTTTTGACAATCTTCTATATTTATTTAGTAGAACAAATTTCAATATATTACTTGAAACTATGAAATAGAATTGAATTAGCAATTGACTGGTCATGTGATGTATAGAAGTACAATATGCTGTGGTTAATTCTGCAGTAGGTTTGTTAATTTTGTTTATCTGCACTAAAGTACGAAGATCTCCATTCTGTTTAACCATTCAAACTGAGGGTGTGATCCAAGTCTGTAATGTAATTAAAAGCTAAATCCTGGAACTTGCTGTGGGAGTAGAATATACTGAATCATTTGCATGAAGAGTTTGTTGAGACAGTAATGTAGCTGTGACATTTTTGCCAATCTTAAATGCTTTTATGTTGCTGAAAGTCAGATTCCTGGTAAAGTTTTGCTTTAGAGTCAGACTTAAGTAAACTTGCACAGCACAAAAAGGAGGAGGAGGAAAAAAAAAACCTTGCACCAAAGGTACTGCTGATATTTAAACCGTGATCTGTACATTTTGCCCACTGAATATTTTTCCTGCATTCATTTATTTCACTTTATTAAATGAATTTTTAGCATTGTAAGGATTTACATCTGTGTAAGTCTTTTTTCCCAAAATTACTAGTTAATTTAGAAGGAAATGTTTTGTAAATTCCACTTGATTCAATCAGTAAAACTTAGAATAATTAAAAGCAATCTTGGTGCACCAAACATGCAGTGTGTGTATGTTCTACAAGAAATCGAAGAGCTCCCTGTTCATAAGGCTGTTTAGAAATGGCATCCAACATTCAGTGCTCAGGTATGTTAGTAAGAAGTACTGTAGTCCTATGAGGGCAAATGTGTGGATTTTTAAACATTTTGCCATAATTGCACAATTTTGCATTTTTACTTAATGTCATGTTATGTTTCTTAAAATAAACCTATTGTTGAAATACAATTGACTTCAGCTGTTTTTGTGATGAGTATCTTTTACATAAATTTTAGTAGATTGAACTTCTGAACTTCTGAAAATTAAGTCGGTGATATCACTTTGCTTGTCACTTTTCTATTTCTGTACTTCTGTGGCTCAGTTGCGTGTAATGTCACACCTCTTAATGCAGTTAACACTGTTGCTTGAGGTGGAAGGTGCTAAGCTCTACTTCTTGTCTAATTCTTCCTGCCTCTTCAGGTTTAACTTTTCATTTGCTTGCACAGGCAACATCCTCTTGCCTTACCTTTTGATCTAGTGATGGCACGTAGCAGCACATCTGCTTGTAAGTTACAGTGTTTGCTTGAAAACCCTTGTTCTTTATCAGAGACTGTCTAATGACTTTAGCAATGATGCAAGGTCATCACAGTCTGGGAAAACAATGTGAAGTTCTCACCTTGGGGGAGGCGTTCCTATAGTCAGATTCTCACAGGCATTTTTTTTTTCCCCAGCCTGAAGACTTATCTGGGAGTAATTTGAAGACATTTGGCAGTTTGGTCTCAGCAGAAGCAGTTCAGGAGTCCTAAGCAAATGGTTGTTGCGTATATTCAGATCAAGTCTACCGCATGCGTTCAGTAAGTCAGACAAATTGGGCTTATTGTGTAGGCCATCTACACAACAGACCGATGTGGCAGACTGCTTGTGAGCTACTCAGTGTAGTCTGCAGCTTTCTGTGAATTGCTGTGCGATAATCCTAATCTTGAGTGAGTTTGTGCTGACAGATCCACGCTCCTGACTGCCAGTTCAGAATGTTATACTTCCCTCAGTCAGACTGAATAGCAATCTGAAGCTGATGAAAGCACCCAAGGGTCCCAGGCTCTTGGTATGATCGTAGTGTTGCTCTTCAAAGAGTTAAGCTCCAGTCCTACAACCTGCATGTCAGCATGTACTGAACAACCTTGATGTCTCTTCTGTTTGCAGCCCTCCGTTGGTAGGAAGAGACTTTTCCAGAGGAATTAGCTAGCAGAGCAAAGCTACTGCTTGCCCTCCTGTATTCCTGTCCAAATCTGCAACTGTTCTGTTAAAGTCAAGGGATGCTTCGTCTTTAAGACTTAGAAGAAAAAGCGGTGAAGCCAGGACAGAGGGCGGTAGGCTAACTGTCTTGTTTATTTGCAATAGGCTGAATAAAACAACAACACACAGTAAACTCTCTACTCTCTATTTGTTTCTATATCCAATGACTCTATTTGGGCCATGAAATACTGATGGCTGCTGTTAGGCAGACAGCCCTAATTAAATTGGCTGTATTTTCATGCTATCTGTAGAGTTTCCTAATAAAATAGTGGATGAGGGTCTAAACTGGTCTAAATGGAGTTTGCAGTAGTACTTGAACAGTAAAAACATCCTAATCTGAGTTTCCTATCTGTTGTCACCTTTGCTCTGTCTGAGACTCCAAGGACTTGGAAGGAAAGATTTTTCTAGTCCTGTATTATGGTTTGGCAACACATTAGCATGTAATAAACTACTAGGACTTAAATCAAGAATGAGCTGAAGCTAACAAAACTATTTACCCTCCAAGAACAAAAAAAGAGAACTCCTGCTGGATTCCCCAGGGGAAAAAGTTATCAAAGTAAAATAAAAGGAGACTGCAAGAAAAAGATAATAGAATTGCATTGGCTATCTGGGGACAAATTAAATTAACTTGGAGTCCACAGTGTGGACAAAGATAAAGCTGTAGAACCTAATTGGAATTATTGTCTCCTTGTAATGTGTGGTAGTTTGGGAGGGGGAGGTGTGGTGTGTGTTTTTTGTTTTTTAATCCCAAAGGGTAGAGAAACCTAACTGACAGCTGTCTTAGTGGAAGCCTCAGTGAGTGCTTTACAGTCTTTAGATTTATCTGGGTGATTCTTCAAAAAAGGTATCAGTGTATCTATGAATGAAGTAGTAGCTGTTATCTTGTTTATAAAAGATGCTTACGGAGATGTCTGCAACCTTTCAGCCAAATCATAAAAGTAGTATGTGGAAGGCACTCTTGGTTTATAATAGCTGGGGAGAGGGAACAGGGATGAAACAGGGGCAGATGTAGTTAGACCATATTCTTTGATTCTCTTCTCCAATTTGTCTTCTGTTCTTGTGGAGAAAACAGATAAATGAATTTGTCCCCAGTACCCCTAGTATGTCCTAGCAGCTCTTGTAAAATCCTCTTAACGTTTGGCTTGTGCTATAATGTGAAACAGAGCATAGCAACAGATGAGATGAGCTTGTATGGTCAAATTAGTGTATTTCAGGTATGAGGAACGGTAACAGCTAGCTCTGGGAGCAGTTTAGGCACAGTTTTGCAAATGAGTATTTGGCTGTACCCTCTGAGTATCAGAGGATATTTCTTCTTTGGACATTAGGGAAATTATGATGTATTTTTTTGGAGAGAGAGAGAGAGAGAGAGATGGGGTCTTGAGAGACTATTTCTATCTGAGGGTGTGGAAGATATGGATTTTTTTTGGCCATACTGGCTTTACCTTGCTACCCAGAGGACGCTGGAAAGGAAGGTATGTTATTTTGGAAGGACTTGCTGGAGAAATGGAGTACCGTGGGGGTGACACCTGCACATTCAGACACATGCATGCACACTCATATCCCCAAAACAAAACAACATTACCTTATGTTAGCTAATCAATTGGGCTGCTCCATAGCAATCTGATTTCAAGAACTAGAGCATGGATTCATCATAGCCCCAATGTGTTCTTTTCGGTCTAGAAGTATCTCACAGTAGAGCAGTAGTGTGCAGTCAATAGATGGAGAGATAACCACCCAGCAGTTGCCTTTTCCTGCTCTCTGCAGTAAATAATACTGTTCTCCCTATCCCCCTCCAAGGGGGCAGTGTTAGGCTAGCGAAGCTTGGCCCCCTTTCTTAACATCTAGTTAAGTGTATCTCACTGCTGGTTTAAGTTTCTGTACTTTATGCAACTATTAATGCAAAGATCCACTGTAAGAGGCAGGTATCTATTAACTTTAGCTAAATTTATATGGTCAAGCTACAGTTTAACAAGCTATGTCAAGAGCAGCAGAACTAACAAAGCCTGATTTCCAGTGTGTCTCTACCTAGTGGAATCTCTGAAGCATAATAAAGGCTGTTATTTAGTTTTATCTTACTGGAGGTAGCGGTGGAATCTTTTTCCTTTTTAGCTGCTTAATTTTATAAAACCTGTGCAGACCTTTTTACACCTTTGAGATTTTTGTACCTCCATCAAGCATAATTTAAACTCCAATCTAGTTTAAACTAGACAACAATCTCAGAAGTTACTTGAGGTGTGTGGTAACAGATAGTGAATGAGCGCTTATACAAAATCCCATATACTGTGTTTCCTTGGGCAATAATGCTAAAAACACCACTTAGAGAATGTTTGGCTGGATTTGATTTTTGAAGTGCTGAATAGCTTCCTGCTATCGTAAGCACTGAGTAAAGAAGGCATAGCTCTGCCTGAAGAGGAGCAAAGGGGAAATAGATTAAGGACAGTCTCTTTATGCTGTCTAAGCAAAAGTGAGGCATTCCCAGTGTAGGAAGAGCACTGCTGCATGCAATTCTATAAAAATGGGTCACAGGCTTCTCTTACATGCTGTAGGTTCCTATAACTGGACAGCAGTTCACAGTAGGGTAATGGGAGAGGAGGCTACGTTCCCTTGACAGCTTCAGTTACTCTCTTTGAAGTATGGAGTCTGACCCGTTAGAAGACAGTATGTGCTTATTTAGATATCTAAGTGTCACTGAGTACCAGCAATGATAACACATCTGTGAAACATCAACCAAAATAGTACCAAATAAACCCATTAAAGGAATACTTTCTGTGTTCTAGGGTAGTCTTATAGACCTGCATGTGACCTCCATTCTTCAGCGCTGTTGCTTTCCCAGAAAACTGGCAAGGTGCAGTCCAAATGTAAGCAATATAAACTATATTTAGTTCATGTCTGCTTTTGATTCTTTTTTTATTTAATAATGAGATACGTACTTTTTTGGGTACCTGTAAACTCAGCTCTAGATATCATTAGATTAATTACTACCGAATATATAGAGACAGAAAAAATGTTTTCTTAGGAGAGGAATCTTTCATAATTTCAAGTAGACCTGGTGTGTGATTTATCAGTTACAGAAAATTTTTGAACTATTTCATGCTTTTCTAGTGTGATTCTATTCATATTCCTTCTGTAAAAGTTTTCCCCAAACATTCAAGGATGAGTAGGGGCAGGAATATTCAGTGAAAAGCAAATTAACCTTCTCCCACAGCCAATAAATGAAGTGTATAATTTAAAAAAAAAAACCCTCATAACTAAATTTAATTAATGTAATTGATTTGATTCCACAGACTTGCTTTGTATTTTTCTCTAAACATAAAAAATAAAAGATATTAGTTTTCATGTAATGTGTGGTATATATGCAAAGCAAGTGTTAAGAAAGAGCTGTCCGATTATTCATTCAAATTTCAATTTTTCATTGGCTAGTGAAATAATAAAGGAGAGTTTCTGCTGCTCTCTTCCATCTCTGCCATCTGTAGAGCTGATCAAGTTTTTCCAAACCTATTTAGAAAAATAGTCCAAATACTTTGAATTGGTGTTGTCTCTGAAGTGCATAGAAATGGTCACAGCCTAAGAACTACAAGCAGAAGATCTGTAAAATTTATGATTTTTATTTTTCAAAAGACTATCCAGGTTGACAGCACATTTGCTTGAGCATCCTGTGAACAAGAAGAGGTGGTGTTTGTCAAATGAATCATTAGAAATTATTTGTTTAGTTTTGTTTATAACAGGCACTCAATGTGAGTTCCCCAAAGAAGCAGCAATGTAACAGCTCCCAAGACTCTAAACGCCAGATATCAAGCGAGAACGCTAGAGGGGAAAGCTCTGATCAATCAACTGGGGTAGCTTTTTCCACAGTTCTGTTTCTTTCATCAGCCTCAGGAAGTGATGTCTTATGTGTAACTCTGGCAAGCTGTGTGGAACAACTGAAAATGAAGTCACTATCGCTGGTATGTAACCAC